TTCTTTAAAAGTAAAAAACAAGAACAAAATAAATACCATTAATTCTAATACACTAGATATTAATATGGAAGTTCCTCAGGGTTCAATTTTGGGACCCATATTGTTCATACTGTATGTAAACAATGTTGACTCATTAATAGGTAATAATTATGCAAGCTATGCAGATGATTTTTCGGCTATAATTTCATCTAAATATACGGATCTATAAAACAGAGAGAGCTCTAACATCGCTCAAAAAATGTTAAGTTATTTTAATAGTCTTGATTTATTTTTTAATGCTAATAAGACTGAGGTACTTAGATTTCATGACAGTCAACATAACGTTGATCCCCTAGAGATTAGTTTTGAAAATGTACTTCTTAATAACGGGAATACTAGCATTCGCTTGTCAAATAGGTCAACACCTTGATTGGAAAGACCATTGTCGAGGACTGGTCAAAAAATTAACTAGGTCTATACTTGAAGTTCGTCAATTAGTTATGGTGTATTTTGAACAAGTAGATTCAGGTCTAAGGTACGGTACCAAAACCTGGGAAAATGGGGCAGGAAACGGCAAAGTCCCTAAGACCAATAAGTCTTATGTCCTTCGTACTTAAGACTTTGGAAAAACTGCTAGATAGGCATATTAGAGACGGGATATTGGTTCAAAGGCCAATATACCAAGACCAATACGCCCATAGTGCAGGGAAATCAACTGAAACAGCTCTCCATCAACTAATAAAAAGGGTGGAGAACACACTGGAAAACAAGGAGGTAATGCTGGGAGCATTCTTGGATATCGAGGGTGCATTTGACGATACCTCCGTTGAATCAATCATTAGATCTCTCAAACACAGAGGAATCGAGGACACATGCGTGTCCTGGATCGACTCTATGTTAAGGGAGAGAACTATACACACAACCCTTATGGGAGAGACAACAGCGGCACGGGTAGCGAGAGGATGTCCACAGGGTGGAGTGCTGTCTCCACTCCTGTGGAACCTTGTAGTGGACGGGCTGCTTAGGGCTCTCAAAGATAAGGGACAT